GTGGGGCCATGTATTTGAGAAAGCAAAGGGGAAGGTGATGGAAAGGAATAATAATATAATAATGTTTTAATTGTAAAAAATAATAATAAAATTAGTTTTCTTGGTTAAATATATTTTTCTGCCTTGCATTTCTAGTGTGTGAACATTGTTCAATTCCTGAGATATAGAAAGACATGAAACTATTTTTCAAAGCTTACTAGAACTTGTGCTGCTTTTTTAAAAAGGAACAAAACAAGAGCTATTTTATTTCTAACTTCTCTGAGTGGGCCTTTCCATTCTGTAGACATAAAGATCTCCCTTATATGGAGACTATCCCAAAAGATTAAAAATCTCACTGTGGTAATGATGGGGTGGAATGTAGTTGTTATGGGAATCTCAAGAATAGTGTGTGGATTCCAGAAGGGGTGAAGGGAATCACCACTTTGAGCCAGGAATTATAGAAAGATTTATCTTACCTGGTCCTTTGATATGATTTTAGCCCTGAAGCCTCAACCACTTAAAGATTTAGCCAAAGAAAAGGTGCCAAGAATCTTGTCACAAAATTGGGATGCACCCAAGCCAGACCAGCAGATGGAAGTTGGCACAGAATGGCTCTCTACTCACTAAGTAGCTGACTCAGAAGAAAGCTTAACTCAGATGAATTTATTAAATGTTGAATATCCTCCCAAATAAGATGGATGGTAGATTTAAGTCCACAGATACGATTTAATTTACTTTAACTTCCTGATAGTCTTGGATAATGTTAAAGCTGTCCACATTTCTGGAATTAAACAGAAAGCTTCTCTTCTTAGCCAAAAAGATGCTCATCTATTACTTAAGTATTCCGAAGATAGGATTTTGGGAAGGAAAAAAATCATACTTTAACAAAACTTTGAGAGATCATTAGAACATTGCCAGAGGTATGATCATGATCCCTTATAAGGTAACATATAGCCAGACAATAACTTACTGTGTGCCCATAGAAGTTGGACATTACAGATTTTCTATTTATTACCTATCAGTCTATTTATCCATCCATCCATCCATCATCCATCTGTGTATATACCTATCCTCCATCAATTTCTGTATCTCTATATCTATGATCTATCTATCTATCTATCTATCTATCTATCTATCTATCTAACTCTATTTATGTGTCTGTCTGTCTGTCTGTCTAATTGTCTGTCTGTCTGTCCTTTGTCAATTACCTGTCTGGCTATATATAATCTATTTGTTGTAAAACTTTAAATGACTTAACTGGGAGAAATTGTCAGAATTAAAGGAACCCCTTATCTACTTTTGCTCACATATCACCACCACTTCTACCACCAACATCCTACGAGAAGCCCTTCTACATCAGTGGTTCTCAACTTTTCTTTTTTGTTTGTTTTTTTTTTGTTTTTTGTTTTCTTTTTCTTTTCTTTTTTTTTCTTTTCTTTTTTTTTTTTGGTTTTTTGAGACAGGGTTTCTCTGTGTAGCCCTGGCTGTCCTGGAACTCACTCTGTAGACCAGGCTGGCCTCGATCTCAGAAATCCGCCTGCCTCTGCCTTCCAAGTGCTGGGATTAAAGGCATGCGCCACCACCGCCCGGCGGTTCTCAGCGTTTCTAATGCTGCAGATATTTAACACCATTTGTCAGGTTGTGGTGAATACCAATCATAAAATTCTTTTCATTGCTACTTTACAACTGTAATTTTGCTACTGCTATGAATCATAATGTAAATATCTGATGCATGGGATATATGACATGATCCACTAAGGGGTTATGACCTACAGGCTAAGAACCCCTGCTCTAAATGAATACATATGGGAGCTGAGTTTTTATATGAGAGATGAGTACCTGAAGGAAACCATATTTAAGGTTATTTTTCAAAAACACACATGTAGACAACTGGTAGAGGGTACATTCTTAGAACACGAACTTTCGTAAACTTAGCCCCGTATTTTTCTGTAATGATGCTCTGTACTTTCTCAGGACTATCTCTAATGTTGTATAGGATGCACCTGTTACCTGTAACCCATCACTTGGTAATTATAGGTGTTTTTTTTAACCCTCTTCACTTATGTCATGTTTGCTGTAAAGTTATCAAATATCTTATCTGCCTTAATCTTTAATTGGTTGATGCCTCACAGCTGAAATATAATCAAACTGAATCAGGTATAATCAAGTTGAATTTTTTTCCATTCCACATAGATGCACAGATGCCCAACAATGAACTGTATGATACAGTGATTGTTTAGAAGGTCTCGAGATATAAGAATAATGATAGTTGTAGTGGCAATATATTAGAAACAAATCTTTATATCATTTAGTGTATTTTAACACTATGTTTCATATAGAATAAAGCTTGCTGGTACTACTTCCATCTGCTGCCTGAGGTGAAGTTATCATGTGGACTGCCAGCTATGAAATTCTGCCAATTTTGAATTTTCCGAAAATCTGCAAGGTTATTATTTCAAGTTGTGTAGAGTAGTTCTTCATAAATATTTATTCCACATTAGATAAAAGCCAACATTTTTATTATAGCAATAAGCTAAGATGATATTTTCAGCTGAAAGAGTGACAGTAAGTTTTGATTACCATCAAGAAGTGATTTTTTTTTTCGAAAGCTGAAATTAAAGTAAGATTGCAAGTTGTGGCAATAGCCAGAAAGCTTATTATTTGCTCATTTTCACAAATCCAATTTATAAACATTCTTAATAAACCACAATGTGTTTTTGTTCATAGTGTCTAACTACTTGGGCTCTTTATTAGGAAGAAAGGGAGGAGAAGCCCAAGAGTATGAACCTACAAGCTGTCCCCTGCTGCAGTCACTAGAAAATCTAGAGAAAGGGAAAAAGAAAAAAAAATCATAATCTTGTTCTGCCTTGGAACATGACAAAATTAATGAGGCATCAAGATTACTTCCTGCTGTAAAGGTAATTGGCACACAAACACAGCAATGGGGAGAATTCTTTGTTTCAGCATTGGAGGAATGCCAACCACCCAGAGCCCTCTGTAGAGTCGCAGGCCTGAGTCAAATGGATATTTTTCTACAAAATGAAGCACTCCTAAAGGTAGGGTGTTACTGCAGTATTTAGTATCTTATTAGCTTTATGTATTTGCAAATAATGTGTGTTGATGATGCTGAAAGAAGGGAGGCCACTAGAAAGAGAAGGGAAGGCTTGGGATTGGTCCACAAAGGTGCCTCATTGGGATAGACTAAGACCTAGGTGACTTCTCAAGAGAACAGCATGGGAGCTCATTTGAGAGGAAGAAGAAGAATACAGCCATCTCTGGCACAGTCCCTTCTGGTGACAGGCAATATTACCCATGTCTTTTTTTAATTTTTTTTCCCTGAGAAATGATCACATCTTTCTTTGATATTCTCTGTCCTCCAGTTTAAATATGTAATTCATGTAGGAAAAATTTCCAAACTTTCTTAGCTTTTCCTTTTCAACTTTTTGTTTCTTGAAAGTGTTTATCTAGCATATATGTTTAAGACTTTGGGTTTTATGATGATTTGGAAACCTTTCTTCTCTCAAACATTTTGAGTCAGCACACATTATGCCATTATGCACAAAGCCAAGCGATAATTCATCTTTGTGGAAGACAGAGACATCTCATGTATTAATTAGAAAGCCTTTCACTGGCTGGTGCACAGAAACAGGATCCAAATACAGCCAGTGATTTCCAGGAAGAGAAAGCCAGTTACAAGGAATTTCTTACCTGATCTACGATCAGCCAATGACTGAACTTTGCTTTCATCTGGCACTGAGGAGAAGAAATAAAAGAGACAAAGATTAGAACCTGCCTGCAAATCTGACATTTTAAAACAATACATTAATATAGATTCACAACAAATTAAATCTTTTATTGCAAAGATTTGAGATTTGTTTTCTTCCAGCCTATCCTGGGGTGCCTCAATTGTATCTACAAGCATTTTATAGTCAACTATGGAGAGCTATGTTTGTTAGGCCTTCTATGAATGTAACACTTATTTTAAAAATGTCATTACTTGTAGTTCTTTTAACTGGGTTCTTTCTTTGATGTCTGTAAGAGAAGAATTGAATTCAATGTCCTAAGAACATAGATAATAAAGCTCCTTGAGCATTAAAGCAATACATATGTACATATTCAAGACTCAAGGACCAGACTTCTATATCTGGTCAAAATAGAGAAAAGGGAAAGATTTATATTTTCCTAATAAAGAGAGGACAAAATTTGTAATAATAGTATTCAACAAAGTAGACATTAGGTCACAAAGGACAGATTTATAAGGATGGAAAACAAATATAGTCAATGCTATGACAGTCCCAGCTTTCAGTCTAGACAGCTTCCTGGAGATTGTGCAGAAAGATGATACAGGACAGAATCCAGTGATGTTCCTTGCAATAAAGGATGCTACATGATATTCAGAGAAGCCAATGCATATGGAGTTTATAGAACATGGAACCAGCTTACAATTTTTTTCTGATATCATCAGAGATGATTCTCTCCCCCTATATCCCTAAGACCTAGAAAACCAATGCTAAATAGAAAGAAAATATTTGAAGTTCACACAGAGATGAAAATGATGCCCACTCCCAGCAGTTGAAGTGGCAAGCAGACAGTTTACTTAAAAATGATGATGGGTCATGCATCAATAGTGTGGAAGAATTAGGTCAAAATTTACACAGCTGTCAAATATGGGGGAAAAATAACCCTCTGAAAGGGCTCAGGTTAGTAAAGCTTTAAAACACAGAAAACTCATATGCATGGCCTAACAGTTGAATTTTAAAATAAGTTTGTATATAAAATTTTCCATCAAAGAATACTCAAGGACTTGGCCACATCACATGTGAATTTTATCAAACATTTAAATAAATCATATGGATTCTACAAAAGCCCTAATAGAGAACACAGAAAGGATTCCCACTGTGTCACAGAAGGCTATTGTTAAACTGATATTAATATCAGGAAAAGACAGTATATGAAAACCACTAATCAATATGTCCCATGAACACATTCTTAAACAACTCTCTGAGGATGACCACACTGGTCCACAACAATTGCTGTACATTTATTCACCATTTACTAATGTCCATGCTGGTCAATATACCACTGGTGCTCAAGGATTGATACAAGATAAGGGAAGCTTGAAAACTAGCAAGACCACCTCCATCTTGACTATGGCATCTATCTCTTCCCTCTGCCCACAACTTCAGTCCTATTAACATAATCAACCACTCCCCTGCCATCTTTTCTTGGCTATCTCTTTATGTTGGAACTAACAGCACTGTTTACTTATGAGGATCCCGTGACTGTGTAAAGATCATGTCATACTTTTAGTTGTATTTACAGTTGAGTGGTAAGTCTAATAATATTCATCAGGTACTGACAGTCAAGGTGTTTTCTTGTTGTCCCAAAAACTATGCACAGTAGAATCTGCAGTTTGAGCAGAAAAATACTACAATTCAATTATCCTGATAATTTAAATAACAACAGTAGCTGGTATAACTGAGTACTTGTAATACACAGATTCTATGTATTTTAAACCTATTTAATTATTTTAACCTTCACAATACTCTGGGAAGACAAGCATCATAATCTTCAAGTCTCATACAAAGACAATGGCTTCCTTCTCATTAGCAGAAACAACAGAGGTGAAATGACAGTCTTAGCTGCTCATTTGTATAAATGACAATCACAGAAAATTTGCAAGCTGAGGAATTTTAAAAACTAACAGTGACACAAATTAAGTATAGGAAAACATTTTAAACAATTCTATACTAGAAATCTAGTATTCTTTTCATTTGAATTTATGATATTAGATAGAAATCTGGGCTAGGTAAAAGGTCCATTGTTGTAATACTACAATATTGGAGACAGAGGCAAAATTATTTGGACAAGTTTAAGCCTGCCTTGGACTAAACAGAAAGATTCGCCAAAAAAAAATTTTTTTTGCAAACCAATATAAATGATGTTGGCTATAATATTATAATGATATATTTTATAATATATAGATATATAATTATACAATGTGCAAATATTATATAACTATAATTATATATTATGTAATATAGTATTTAAAAATAAAAATTTATAAAGTACATTTTTATAATTGTGGTGGTTTGCATATGCTTCACTCAAGGAGTAGTGTTGTTGGATGGGGGTGGACTTTAAGACCCTCCTCCTAGCTGCCTGAGGAAAGTCTGCTCCTGGCTTCCTTTGGATGAAGATGTAGAACTCCAAGCTCCTTTTCCAGCATCATGTGCTGCCATACTTTCTCCTCTGGTGATAATGGACTGAACCTCTGAACCTGTAAGCCAGCCCCAATTAAATGTTTATCCCTTATCAGAGTTGCCTTGGTCATGGTGTCTGTTCACAGCAGTAAAACCTGAACTAAGACAATAATTAAATTTATAATTTAGCATGCTGGAAATTTAAATTCAAATGTATTCAACATAAATTATTTATTCTCACTTAACATAAAAGAAGTCATTTTGAGAGTTAGGAATCTAGCTTAGAAACTTAAGTACAAAAGTTTCAAAAGGAATTTCCATAAGTGACCTAAGAGTCATTTTAACTTTGCGTGCTTCAGTTCACTACTATAAAGTGAGTGAGACACTGGTACCACACTGGTTTGTGGTGACGATGGTAGTTAGTACACATAAGGTAAGTACATGCTAAATGCTTGGAAGGTCACTCAGTGGGCACATAGAAAACCTTAGCTATGGTCATTATTAATGAGGAACTTCACAGAAAGGCAGAAATATGAGTGGCGGTAACTGAACAGGTGTGGCTCAACTGCCACTGTTACCCTGAAAGTAACTAACTGACTAAGAGCTTGCTAACTCCATGCTAAGAACAGAGAGACAAGCAGCACACAGGAAATTATGGGAGATTAAAAAAATCATTAAAAATTACTCAGCCCAGATCTAGGTAAGACTTTGCTAGCGAGGCTGTTGAGAGTTGTGAGACGTGAATTTGGTGGCAATGGTGTTGATGACTGTACTTTCTTAGGACTGTAAAGAGATATAGAAAGAATAACTGAGAACACATCGGACTTTGGCAGAGCAGGGCTTTTATGGGCTATCTGAGTGATGCACTCTAGATCCACTGTGTATGATTCGTTTTGCTTTTGGAAGAAGTGTACTAAAAATACAGTTGAGCAAAGGGTCGCTTCTGCCTAGTTTGTCTTTTTTTTTTAATCTAAATATTGCAAATTTCCTAGGCATACTAGGTTTTAAGGAACTTTTTAACTTTTTGGCTGAATAATGTCTATTATCCCAAGTGGGAATACTTATCATTATCTTAATTGACAAGTTGAAATTTCTTTAGAACACTGAAATAAACTATTTTAAAAAACAGTGTGGAAAATCCAAGTGGGTGACAGGCACAAAAATTAGGAGTCTTTCTCCAGAATATTCTCTGGCACAGATGCCTATCTTTAGGATCAACGGCAAATGAACAAACATAATGGAAAAGAGAGGGTGTGCTAATGACTTCATTAATAGAACACATTTTATTTAAAAGGTTAAATTTGGAACAATCATCTTTTATGCCCATGCTTAGTGCTGGGAAGCAATTTAAATAACAGTGGCAAATGAGAAAATGAGGGAAAATTACACACACCACCAATTTTTAAAATGGCAAGTATTATAATTAATACCCAACTTCCTTTATAACCCACATCACCTTAGAGCAACTATTAGTTATCTCTTGGGACTGGAGCTTAAGTGTAGTTGTTTCATTGCATTATATTGAGATAGTGCAGAGAGTGAAATGGTAGCAACATGGTTCACAATAAGTCTGTACTTTTAAATAAAAGGCTTGTATAAGAAACTGAAAACGAAGTGGGCCTCATGCAAGGAAGGTCTTCTATTTCAAGACAGCAAAGAAGACAAAGCATCATGGAACGGGGTGCCAATGGGGGAAGACCCTTATGGTTTTACATTCAGGTTCTGATGGAAGGTTGCTTTACATTTCTTTCTTCATAAAGTTTCTGGAGTTCATTGTGTTGGCTTCCTTAACCTTCAGTTTTACACAAGGACTGCACCTATTTGCTCTTGGGTATATTTGAGGAATATTCTAGCAGTTGAAGGGATATGAATGAAATGTTGAGTCCTTTTGTAGACGTAATTCAAAGGCATTTGCACTTACAACCACTGTTCTTATTGTAGCCATTATTAAAAGCTAGAAGAGATCATGGAGTTGCCTTTTTTGAGATTTCTCTGGCTTTATTTAGCTAATATGATTTCTATACTAACTTGTTTCCTGACACTCAACACAAGATCGATGAACACTATTTGGCTTGATTACCACAGGTACTTAATAAAAAGGACACTATTTGGTTTGAATGTTTGCTAATTTCCTACTGTGTCCTCAGACTCGCATGGGGAACATGGGGAACTCATGATGGTCCATGTTTCTAATTCTTGCTAAGTCTTTGAAGTCTAAGTCTATGGAGAGTGCCCAACCACAGAGAACACACATTTTAAGAAAGCACAAACACACAGCATTTTTCTTTTCACTTAATTTCCACCAGGTTCATTGTTAAAATTCAGAGAAGGAAAATATGGAGGGAAAAAAAAAACCTATGATCAAGATGGCATTCTCCAAACTTGTAAGCAGCAGACATTAAAGTGCACATAATATGCATGCATGTTGGCTCCCAGTAGGGTGCATTTTTATTAATACAGTGCTTGCTTAAAGTGTTTTATTCTTTTGTCAGGCCTTCTTACATACTTCAAATGCCTTCTCACTAGGGGAAAACAATCCCCTTGCTTATT